CTAACACTCACTTCCCAGGTATCAGGTGGTGGTTCTAGGCGGTGGCGGGGGCGGGGGGCGGGGGGGTTGGAGGAGAAAGAAGCACGAAAGGAGAATACCTCAGAGGTGTTTTTGTTTTGGTTTTTTAAAATTGAGACAGGGTCTCGCTATGTTGTCCAGGCTGGTCTTGAGTTTCTGGGTTCCAGCCATCAGCCCACCTCAGCCTCCCAAAGCGCTGGAATGACGGAGAGATGTTTTTTGCTATTAGAAGAAGCCTCGTGCTGAAACACCAGAGTTGGGGGGGAAGGGTACTAACCTCTTGGCTTTTGAAAAGGGACTAGTCCCAGGGAAGTGAAGGTACATGCTGAGTGTATAGAGAGGCAGAGGGGCATGGGCTTTGGAAACCAAATGCTTCTGGGTTCCAATCCTCTTTTCGCTTTATTGCTAAGTGGTGTGCCCTTGGACAGGTTGCTTAACTCCCTGAACCTGAGTTGCTGCCTACTTGGTTGACAAATATTTACTGAGCACCAATCTAGGCACCAGGAGTGACCAGTCCAAATTCTGGCTTGAATGGAGCACGTGGCCGTGTCTGAGAATATGGGGATGAGAATGCCGGCCCTGTGGGACCAGGTGGTTATCCAGGTAACCTCCAAATGCCCCTTAGCGGTTAAGTGAGAGGGACTAAAAATAGATGGGCTGAGGAGAGGGTCCCTTGAGCCCCGGAGTTGGAGACCAGCCTGGGCAACATAGCGAGACCCTGTGTCAAAAAAATATAGAGAGATGAACAGATGGGTGCTTTTTGGGAGGAGGGTGATTCTATCCGGTGCTCAGGTTGGGGCACCTGGGAATGGAGAAGGGAAGCAGGCGTGGAGAGCAGTGGCCAGGAAGCCCCTGAATGTCCACCTCCCTGGGGGTGCTCCACCTGCTTGCAAGATTTGCTTCGGGACCACCCCTCCCCCACCTCTAGTGATCTGGCTAGGCTGAGGTTATAGGTCACGACCAGGACCCCTTGTCTGGGCTTTCTCAGAACGCCTCTCTGCCAAGGAGCCAGATCTCCTCTAATAGCTTGGAGCCTCTAAAAGCTTTGACCACAGCTCAGCTTGCTCCCTGCAAGCCCTTTGAAGCGCTTCCTTCGAACTTGCTTTGCATATTCTGGTCAGATCTGAATCAGACTTGCAGGAATTACCCCTCTCAGTAACAGTCTAGGTGGCTGCCTTAGCTTGTCAGTGACACACGGGGCGGGCGTGCTGACGTAAGGCCGAGACGTATTTGATTCCAGCGAGGGGGCAGAGCCGCCACCCTCAGCAGCTCTCATCCTCCTCTCCGATGCAGAGTGTGGGTGTGGGTGAAAGAGAAAGCAAGGCAGCGGGGTGGGAGGTGGAGAAAAGGCTCAAGTCATGTTTTTCATTAAAAAATAGTGCTCTTTATTATAAATTACTGAAATGTTTCTTTTCTGAATATAAATATAAATATGTGCAAAGTTTGACTTGGACTGGGATTTTGTTGAGTTCTTCAAGCATCTCCTAGTAGCCTCGAGGGCCTGAGTAGGGGGAGGAGAGAGGACTGGAGGTGGGATCTTTATAAAAGACAGAGTGATTGAGGCAGATTGTAAACATTGTTAAAAAACAAGAAACAAACAAACAAAAAAAAAAATAGAGAAAAAAACCACCCCAAACACAGCTGCCCTGTCCAGCCCAATACCTGACACAGAAAACTTCGTGTTTGATTCGTTGCCCTCCCCCCCCCCCAAAAAAAAAAACAGTTCCAGGTAATTCCATCACTGCTACATTCCTGTAAGTTGTCACTGATCAGTGCTATGGCAGAGCGGGAGCACCTGGCATGGGAGCAGTCCAGCCTCTCCGATGACCTCCAGCCCACCCAGGCAGGAGGGAGGGCTGTGCAGGGCTGGGGGCAGTGGGCCTGGTGGCTCTGCTCTGACCAGGAGGCGCCTGACTGGCCAATACTTACTGGGCTAACACTCCCAGTGCTCAGCTGGAAGGCATGGGTTTCCGCCCCCTCCCACTTCCCTGGCTGTGGGCTGGCTGGGTGCCCTCCGGTGAGTCCCTCGGCCTCTCCGCAAATCCAGGCTGAGTGTGTGGCTTTCCTATGCTGGGTCCCTCTCCATGGGACAGGGAGCATTTAAGGCGAATCTCTTAGCCAGACGTAGTCGGGAGGCACAGAGTAGGATCCCCTGTCTTCTCTACCTGGAGCCTGGGGTGAAAAACGTCCTGTCTCCTCCATCCTCCTCCTCCATCCACTCAGGTGCAGGAAGGTATAGCATGAGCAGGAAAAGAAGACCAGCTGACCAGCCCACCATCCCCTTCAAATGCTGCTTCCCCCATAAAACGGAGGAAGGGCCCTGGGCTCTCAGGCACCAGGGAGACTTTGGAACCTGTGTTTTCTGTGGCTGTCCCAGGGGCACCAGTATGGTTCCCTTCAGGTCACTCCAAGTCCTTCTCCCTGAAGCCGGGGGAGGAGCATGACACCTTGCTCCTGGCCTGGGGTGGGCGGGGTGTGTGGCGTTTCCTTAGCCAGCCCGCAGCCCTGGGGCCCTCACGACCCCTCTCTCTTCCACCTTTCCCAGGCTCCACAACCAGCTCAGGTTTAAACCAAATCAAAGAGCAAACAAGTTCCGCTGGAAAGTTTGAAGATTCCCTGGCAGTTCTCATTAGTTCAGCCTTCCCGAAGTGTCCCGTTTGGAAGCGGAGGGGAAGTTGAGGAATCAGAGAAGAATCCACTTGGCGTTGCTATGGCCCCACCGGGCCAGCTGGCTCCTCCGGAGAAGCTGGAGTGGCAGGGAGCACACCGGTGGCACTCCCCCTTCCCTCCAAGACATTCTAGGTCCAACTGCCCCATTCTGCAGGGGGAGGGCAAAGGGAGGGGCCTGTCCGCCCCCTTTCCCCCCAGAGCTACAGGACTCTCTCCTGGCTGGCTTCTTGTGCTTGTGCCATGTGCCACGGAGGAGAAGGGACATAGGCCCCTCTCCCGACCCATGTCCTTTGCGCCCTTTGCTCCTTAAAGCGGGGCATCATACTGGTCCAGGAACTCTCGAATGGGCCCGGGCAGCTGGGTGACTTTCTCATAGGAGTCCAGGTGGCCATTGACAGTCTTCCTACAGAGATGCTGAAGACTGGCCACGTTGGAGGAGAGAGGCCGGCTCAGCACCAGCGGGATCTTCTCGCCCCCGGAGTAGATGTAATAGGCTCTTCTGGGGGGACTCCCAGGGAGGGGCTGGGCAGACGGCTGCTCGGGCACCTCGGAGGAGGGTTCAGTAGGTGGTGAGGGGAAGGAGGGGGCTCCAGGGGGTGGCATGTAGTGGTGCACCAGCTTGAGCACGCAGTCGAAGCGGGGCACGGGCTGCGTGCTCCGGGGGTCGCTCTGCAGAGAGAAGCTGCCCCCCTCGCACTGGATGCGCAGGTTCTTGGTCCCAGACTGCGTCTTGACGCTGAGCGTGAAGAAGTGGCGCTGGTCCGAGCTGTCGCGGATCAGAAAGGTGCCGGCGGGCTCCGCGCTGAGCAGCAGGTTCGCCTCGCCGCCCGTCACTGCGCTCCAGTAGAAGCCGCTCTCCTGCAGCTTGCGCACTGCGTTCACCACCAGCTGGTACTCGCTCTTGGAGCTGAAGGTCTTGAGGCGCAGGCTGGTGTCCAGGGGGCGGCTCATCCCGGCGGCGGGAAACTTGCTGTGGGTGACCATGGCGCACGGAGCCAGCGTGGATCTGAGCGGCGGCGGCTGCAGCTGCTTCGCGGCCTCCGCACAGCGGCCGCTACTGCATCCCGGGGGGCTGCGGATTGGAAGGCACACCGCGTGAGTGCCCGGAACCCTCCAGCGCGCCCGGCCCGCCCCGGCTCCCTTGTCTCCGCCGAGCGACTGGGGCACCCACTGTCCCGGAGGCCCTCGCCCGGGTTCGCGCTCCGATCCCGGCGCCCCACGGAGCCCGCAGGGCTCCCGCCCCTGCCGGCAGGGTGGCCCCGGGCAGCCCCTTCCCCGGCGCGCACGGCCAGGGCGCAGCGTGGGAAACTCGCGCGCGGAAGTTGGGTCTCCAGGAGTGCGGCCGGGTGGGGAGCGGGAGAAGGGCCCCCGGGACTGTCTGGGCGCCGCTCAGTCCGGTGGCCCCGGGCAGTGTGGACGGAGGGAGAAACCCGAGGCACAGGGATGGGGAGGCGACCGGAGAAGCCCGAGGGCCCGGCCCGAGTATTCCGGGAACCCGGGATCTCCGGCTTCCATCCGCTCTGCCCCTACCTCGTCCCCTCCCAGACGGGAAAGACCCGGGAAGGGGAGGGGAAACCGGGAAAAGCTCCCGGGACTGAGCGAGCCCCCTCCCCACTCCGCGCTCCTCCTTCCTACCTGGTCCGGAATCGAAGTCTCCGTCCTTGGGGCTGAGCCCCCTGTGGTCCCCAAGGCGAGGCGGCGGCGCGGCGGCCAGCGGTGGCCCGCGCTGTGCCCAGATGTTGGCGGCCGTGACGTCCACAAAGGAGCCTTGGCGTGCGCGTCCCTCGAGCTTCCCCGGGGCGCCCGCCCTGCCCCCTGCACACTCCGGGGCCGACCCGGCGGGGACGAGGCGCGGGGCCGCGGCGGGAGCTGGGCCGGGCGGGCGGCGGGCGGCGCGCGGGGCCCGAGCGGCGGCGGCGGCGCGGGGAGTCCGAGTCGGAGCCGCCGCGGAGGCCGCGCTCGCGGGTATATAGGCGGCCGCCGCGCCCCGCCCCCCGATTCCTGGAACTGCGCGGCCGGCCTTCTTGTAATGTTTAGTCACTACTCGCAGCAGAGAAAGGCTGAGCGCGGAGGGCGGGGAGGGGCCGCGGGCGCCGAGGGCGGGCCGCGAGCAGGGGCAGGGACCGGGAGGGACGCGCGCGGAGACAAAGCGCGACGGGAGGCGGCCGAGGCGGCCGGTGGGCGCGGCGCCAGCCCCGGCGGCGCGTTCCTGGCAGCGGCCCCTCCCCGCCGCGCGCTCCGCCCCCAACTTCTCATTCACACTTTCCCCCAACCCCCCTCCCTTCTAAGAAGGCCAATTTCTGGCAGAGGCGGGGGCGCCGCTTCGGGAGCCCGGGCAGTTCTAGGAGGCCGACCTGGAGAACCTCCCGGTTCCCCTTCCCCTTTTCTCGGACCCCGCGGGGACACCCCCTCGCCGCCACCCGGGCCTCCCCGAAGGCCCGATGGCGGGTCCAGGCGGCCCGGCCCAGCCAAAAGGGAAGTGGGGCTACCCCACAGCCAGGCCGCGGGGCCGGGGGCAGACCGGGAGCCGGAGGTTGGAGGCGTGCGACCGTCCCCTGCGGGCAGGTTCCGGAGGGGAGACCCGAGGCTGCAGGGGACGCCCCTGCGTGGCAGCTACCCGGCCTTGGCGCACTGCCAGGTTCTTTGCCGACCCTGATGCGGGTGTTGAGCCCCCTCCCCTCCCCTATGAAAGCGCTTTCATGCATTGGAGTCTGCAAACGCACTTGGTCCCGTGTGGGTCGGGCCAGGTGCTCTTTGCGCGGCTGGAGAGCTGGAGGGGGAACGAAGGCCCCAACCCGCGTCCCGCGTCCGCCAGAGGGCGCCCTGGGGTCTCCTAGGGGACCGCAGATCGGAGCTGCGCGCCCCAGGCCCTGGAATGGGCTCCGGGGTCTGCGGGAGTGGCTGGCTCCGGAGTAGGAGACGTGGCCGAGAACGGGGAATTCACGTCCCCGGCTGGGGTCAGACCTGGGAATACAATTCTAGCAGGAGAGGATTTCCGGAAAGCAGTTTTCAGGGGTTCAAGCTACTGCCCAATGGCCCGCACCCCCTGGGATGTGCCCCCCTGCCTCTTTTGGGGTGCGAGGAGGATCTAATCACTGACGGGGAGGGGGCAGAAGCGGGAAGAGGAGGTGATTGAGGTGAGAGATTGGTTTGCTGTTGGTCACGTTGGCACTGATGTCGATAGTTTGGGCTTGGAGACCCGGGGCCAGCTTTGTGAAGGATGGCACGTTTTGTCATCTTGTCCCCATATGGGCAGTGCGGTGCGGTAGACACCCGGGAACTGCCTCAGTGGCACTTAGATCTTCACCTCCGGATGCAGGGGCTGTGGGCCTGGGGCCTTACGCTCTTCCCAGATACCAGGATAATGAGTTGCTGAAAGGGAAGGACGACACTCCTGCCAGGGACTGGGAGCTTGGGATTCCAGAGCCCAGAGCCGGTCCTTCACGGGTCTGGGAATTGATAGGTGTGTACTGTCTTTGCCACTGTATCCTCAGTCTGTGCCATCACCTCTCTCCAGCATGTGTTGGGGACTAAACGAGATTTGGACAAGACACACAGCTTCTCTGGGCTTTGGTTTTGCCATCTGTAAAACAGGAGCCAGAGCCAGGCACGGTGGTTCACACCTGTAATCCTAGCACTTTGGGAGGCTGAGGTGGGTGGATCATCTGATGTCAGGAGTTCAAGATCAGCCTGGCCATCAGGGTGAAACCCTATCTTTGAAAAAAAAAAAAAAAAAGAAAGAAAGAAAAGGAGCCAGAACCTTTTCCTTACCTTTGGCAGGCCAAGGTGGGGGGATCACTTAAGCATAGGAGTTAAAGACCAGCCTGGGCAGCAAAGTGAGCACCCCCATCTCTACAAAAAAATAGAAAAAATTAGCCAGGAATGGTGGCCTGCGCTTGTAGTCCCACCTACTCAGGAGGCTGAGGTGAGAGGATGGCTTGAGCCCAGGAGGTCGAGACTGCAGTCAGCCATGCACTCCAGCCTGGGCAACAGAGTGAGACCCTGTTTAAAAAATTAAAAAAAAAAAAAAAGGCAGGGCTCGGTGGCTCACGCCTGTAATCCCAGCACTTTGGGAGGCTGAGGCGGGTGGATCATAAGGTTAAGAGATTGAGACCATTGTGGCCAACATGGTGAAAACCCATCTCTACTGAAAATATAAATATTTGTAGGGCGTGATGGTGCGCACCTGTAATCCCAGCTACTCAGGAGGCTGAAGCAGGAGAATCACTTGAACCAGGAGGCGGAGGTGGCAGTGAGCCAAGATTGCACCACTGCACTCCAGCCTGGCGACAGAGTGAGACTCTGTCTCAAAAAAAGGGAAGGAAGAAAGAAAAAGAAATTTTTCCCATGAGAGATTTGACATTTAAAAAAATAAAAAAGATTCTGCCCATCAAAGTGTGATAGAAATAGAAGTAATTCCATCCAACTCTCCCTCCAGCCTATGAGGACAGCAGAGGAGGAAACTGGCTTATTCAACACTTTTCACAGACATCGAGCTCCATGCACCAGGCAATGCGCTGGGCATTGATACAGAATGATGAGTAGGACCTGGTTTTGCCCTCACAATGCTTGCGAGGTAATGAAATGGATTCTCCCTCTCTCTCTAATCAGTTCGGTCTTTTTCTCATCCATTCAGTGTTACGTGGCTGCATGACCAGACTTCTGGGCAGAGCCCAGTGGAAGGCAAGGAAGACTCAAGGAATAGCCCTTGAGGTAATGGATGAGAAAGTGCTTTGTAAATTACAGTGCTCTGACACGAGTCAAGTTCATTCATCCATTCCACAAACCCTCGATGCGAGCCTGCTTTTGCCAGGCACAGGGCAAAGCGCTGGAAGACAGATGCGCTGGGTGAATCCTGCAGGCGGAGGTGGCTGGGGCAACTGATGAGGGCCCCCCAACATTGAGTGAGGTGGTAGGTGGGGGGCTCCCTGCCTACTGACTCCGGAGATCAAACTGCTATTCAGGCGCTATCACCTGGTAGCTATATGACTTTAGGCAACCTGACTTGCCAGCTGTGCCTCGGTTTCCTCATTTGTAAACTGATTAGAGAGTAGATCCTACCTTATGGAGTTGTCTGGAGCTCACAGATGCAATGCTGAGAGTAGTGCTTTGCACATAGGAAGTGCTCAGTGCATGTTAACTGTCGTGATTTTGAAAGCACTGGGGAGGTTTTGAGGAGAGGGAGGAGTGAGCTGAGCTGCTGCAGCTTTGGCTCATAGGGTCGGCTATGGATGCAGCTGCCTGGTTTGGGGGAAGCAAACATCTCCTAAGGAAGATACATTCCAGAGAGCTGCTTGTCTTGAAACAGGTCAGCCAGCCACCAGTCTTCTCTTTTGCATTCTTTCTTTCTTTTCTTTTCTTTTTTTCTTTTTTTTTTTTTGAGATGGAGTACGACTCTCTCACCCAGGCTGGAGTGCAGTGGTGCCATCTTGGCTCACTGCAACCACCACCTCCCTCATGGATTCAAGTGATTCTCCTGCCTCAGCCTCTCAAGTAGTTGGGATTACAGGTACCCACCACCATGCCCAGCTAATTTTTTGTATTTTTAGTAGAGACCAGGTTTCACCATATTGGCCAGACCCGGTCTCAAACTCCTGACCTCAGGTGATCCGCTAGCCTTGGCCTCCCAAAGTGTTGGGATTATAAGCGTGAGCTGCATGCCCAGCCTTCCCTTTGGCATTCTAATCTCTCCCATGGTTTCCCATCGCCTTCGGGATGAATCCAGACTCCTCAGTGCAGTGTGTGTCCAGGCTGCTCCGTGTGTTAACTTCACTGGTGGCCACTGCCCCAGCAGCTGGTGCGTTGTGCTCCAGTTACATGGAGCTCCAAGGTGTCCAGAAGGTACTACGTTCCCCAAGGCTGGGTCTCTAAACACTTGCTTCCCTGTCTGGGGACAGGGAGGAAACTGTCTTCCATACCTTGGCTGATTTCTACTTTTCCCTTAAAATGTGGCAGATGGCTGGGTGTGGTGGCGTGTACCAGCAATCCACTTTGGGAGGTCAAGGTGGGAGGATCGCTTGAGCTCAGGAGTTTGAGACCAGCTTGGGCAAGATAATGAGACTCCATCTCTACAAAAAAATTTTTAAAATTAGCTGGGCGTGGTGGTGCACACCTGTGGTCCCAGCTACTCGGGAGGCTAAAGTGGGAGGATCGCTTGAGCCCAGCAGGTAGAGGCTGCGGTGAACTATAATAGTGCCGTAGCATTCCGGCCTGGAGAACAGAATGATACCCTGTCTCAAAAAAAGAAAGAAAGAAAGAAAGGCAGACACTCTAAACTTCCAGGTAACTATTTTTGCATTAAATGTTCTGACTCCTCCTCCAGTGAGGATCTTGGGAAATGGACTGTATTTGATTTTTTTCTTTGTAAGTCTGGAACCCGGTATAACAAAAGGGCTCAGTGAATCTGTAAGTCGAGGATGATGTTGACTTCTTTTTCCCCTGTTTTTAGAGACCACAGCCTGCTTTCTTCTAGAGTGCTTTTTGGTTTTCCCTGCAGGGCTCAGGAGCTATACAGTTGGGACAGAGGATGTGAGTGGATGATCAGGCCTGTTGGTGTGAAGACAAAGGGAATGAGGACAAACACATTTCTGGAAATGTGGGTGGAGATACCTGGGCCTCTACGGGGCACAATTCCAGAGCTACTTCCAGGCAGGGACCCCGGCAGAGAGATGCCGGGGCCAGGACACAGGCTGGCTTTCGTTTATCTTCCCCCCGCTGGGGGGAGGTCGAGGGGAGATCTGGCCCCTCTGCTCCGCCCTCCTGATTTCCCGTCCAAGGGATTTAGGAGACTCTCGCCTTTTCCTAATCTCTCCCTTTGCAGAATTTCTGCGAAGTCAGAATCCCATTTCCAGGCAAAGGTGCTTGGTCATAAAGATAATAAAGATATTCATTCACGATGGAGGGGAAGTACACAGTGGTTTCAGCCGCCTGCAGGGCTCCACTTACTCATGGTGTGTGACAGATGCTGAGCCTTCCCCAAATCTCGCGGAGGGGAAGGAACCCTGGCGCCGTGGGGTGGTCGCGGGAAGCCGTGGTATGGCTTGGTGAACACAGGCTTCCCAGCCTGGGGGGTGGATGCTGAGGTTGCCATTGTTGGTGGCTGCGTCTGCAACCAGATGGGTCAGGACGCTGGCCTCAGACCACAGCGTTGCTAAACGCCAAGCCCAAGGCCTCCCTGTCTTTAAGACTGTGGGGCATTCTACAGCATAAGGAGGCAGCCGGGGCTGGACTGCCCAGGGCCTGCCATTGATCGCGTCTCCTCTGCGTGTGAACTAGCCTGCCACACCTGCGGACGCATGGTGGGGAAATCAATTGGCTTCCCTCCCTTCTAGAGCTACAGGTCTGGCGTCCGTGTCTAGAGGCACGGGGAGGAGGGAGGGAGGCCTCTTCCTTTCTGCCTGCCTTTCTCTTGGCCAATTTGGAGTAGATGCTGGGGGGACCTGTCTCTCATCTGACCTAGGAAGCCCTGCCCACTGCTCCAGTGTGGCCCGGTGGGGCTGAGGCCTGGCACCTAGGGCTGGGCTACCTAGGTGCTCAGTTCTGCCTCCCTGGCTTCTTTTCTGTCTTTCTTTTTTGTTTGTTTTTGAGACAGCGTCTTGCTCTGTTGCCCAGGCTAGAGTGCAGTGGTGTGATCTTGGCTCTCTGCAACCTCTGCCACCTGGGTTCAAGTGATTCTCCTGCCTCAGCCTCCCGAGTAGCTGGGATTACAGGCACGCACCACCACGCCTCGCTAATTTTTGTCTTTTTAGTAGAGACAGAGTTTCACCATGTTGGCCAGGCCGGTCTCGAGCACCTGACTTCATGATCCACCTGTCTTGGCTTCCCAAAGTGCTGGGATGACAGGCATGAGCCACTGCGACCAGCCCCCACCTTCTTTTCTTACCCACTGGGATGCCCCATGGGACTACCTTGCAGCCTGGAGGACCAGATGGCCTTTCCGGAGCAGGGGATGAGTTCACAGGTCGCAGACCAGGTGGACCCTGAGCCCTCCCTTTCCTGCTTCAGATAGGGGCAGGCCGAGGGAGGCAGGGACAATGGCATTCCTGTTCGCAGGCCTTTGTTCCTGCCAGGAGGGGCCACCGAGCTAATGAAAAGGTCTGTGGCTCAGCTGTCCAAGAGGCCACGGAGGAGTTCTTTCAAGCCTGACATTCCAGGCCCAGCCGGCCTCTGGCATTTCCCAGAAAAACTACGGGGAGAGGAGGGGAAAGAAAACACTTGCGGGACCCACCCCCCCACCCACCACCGCCTTCTCGGATTCCTCGTTCCCTCTGGGGCTTGGGCTGGGCCCGAGTGCCAGGACCCCTGCCCCAGGGGGCCCATTCCACCCCCCCACAGAGGGGGCCCTGGGGAGTGTTGAGAGGGTGTGAGTGGGCGAGTGGGGTGACTCTAGGAGGCTGCAGAGAGGCTGAAATGTCGGGGGCCCAGTGGAAAGGGGAGGAAACTTTCTGCCCACTTTGTCAAAGAGGAATCCACATCTGCTCCAAGTTTGGAGCGGAGGGTGGGGAGTGAGGGGGGTGAGCTCCTAGCCAATATCTCCTCTGACCCCAAACCAACAAACCCTGCTGTGTCCGAGGCTGGGGTGGGAAGAGTTTCTATTTGCCCTGAAGCAGCTGCGGGAACAGACATCAGGGCAGCGGGGCAGTTCTGGGAAGTGAGGCTGTGGTGAACCATCTGGGCGGCACACAGATGAGGCAGTGCCCAGGAGGGGGAGAGCCCGGGAGGGGGTGAGGAGGCCAGGCTGACTCCTGGAGACATGCCTCTTGGGATGTCCTGGGCTCAGGCGCCCTTGGAGAGGCAGGAGCTGGCGGGGGACCAGGTGAGTGCAGCGGTCCCAGCCGCCCTGCAAATCCCCAGTCAGGCTGGCTGCTGGAACCAGGTGGGCATGGTCCCAGGGGATTCTCGGAGCAGGTGCCCCTCATAACCATGGTGTGCCTGCAGCCTCTGGTCAACCTACTGCGGCCTGGACGAAGGCTTCCTTCTGACCCCTCATCCTCTGGGAAGCCCCTGCCTCCCCCTCAGTGTGAAGCACACCTGGTGTGCCCTTTGCAGTGCACTGATTCCTGGGCAAGTTCAAATAGAAAATGATAGGCTGGGCACGGTGGCTCTCACCTGTAATCTCAGCACTTTGGGAGACCAAGGCAGGTGGATCAACTGAGGTCAGGGGTTCGAGACCAGCCTGGCCAACATGGTGAAACCCCATCTCTCTAAAAATACAAAATTAGCTGGGCGTGGTGGCACATGCCTGTAATCCCAGCTCCTCAGGAGGCTGAGGCAGGAGAATCACTTGAAACCAGAAGGCGGAGGTTGCAATGAGCTGAGATCGAGTCATTGCGCTCCAGCCTGGGCAACAAGAGCAAAACGCCATCTCACAGAAGAAAACAGAAAATGATAATACCCTCTCTCTGGTTCCCAACATCCCAAACCAGACTCAAAGGCAGAGAAGTGGGCTAGGAGGAGTGATGTCGGAGCCTCCCCCAAGGACAAGGAGGTGAGACTCTAAGGCGTCTAAGGGGAAATTGGGGCAGCTGCCCCCACGTGTTTCTCCCTCCCTCCCACTTGCCCGCACTGTGCCCACTGGGCCTCGGGTTGGTGGTGTTCGACGTTTTTTTCTTTCTTTCTTTTTTTGTGAGCTCAGCCACAACACTCGTTTTTTGCTTTTTTTTGAGACGGAGTTTCGCTCCTGTTACCCAGGCTGGAGTGCAATGGCGCGATCTCGGCTCACCGCAACCTCCGCCTCCTGGGTTCAGGCAATTCTCCTGCCTCAGCCTCCCGAGTAGCTGGGATTACAGGCACGCGCCACCATGCCCAGCTAATTTTTGTATTTTTAGTAGAGACGGGGTTTCACCATGTTGACCGGATGGTCTTGATCTCTTGACCTCGTGATCCACCCGCCTCGGCCTCCCAAAGTGCTGGGATTACAGGCGTGAGCCACCGCGCCCGGCCTAACACTCGTTTTACACCACCATTAATTCCTTGAGTAGATGTTTATTGAGCACCTACTATGTGTCAGGGATTGAGTTAGGTGCCAGAAATGTATCAGTCTGGGATCTCATGGAGCTTAGCTGTTTTTCCAGAAGGACAAGACTCTTCCAGAATTATATCGGGATTGATTAATTTTGACTGTGCTGCATGCTACAAAGAAGTCCCAGGAGCTATGTGAGCCTATTACGGGGAGACCTAATCTATTGGCCGGACAACCAAGGGGGAGTCCCTGAAGAAGTAACACCTGTAGGCTGATAGGAAGCTGACGGCCAGAGAGGTCCCTGCCCTGTGTGAGGTCTCCCAGCCGGATCATGGCGGAGCTCAGGCTGGTGCCCAAGTCGGTTGACTGGACTCCTGGAGTTACCCCCCTCCACAGGCTCCTCCATTCTCCCTCCAGGCCATTCAGCGGGATGCACAGGTGAGAGGAGGACCAGGAGCTGGCAGAGGCAGGGACAGCCTGCTGGGGGGATGGGCAGGCTTCTGGTACCTGAGTTCAAGAGATTCTCCTACCTCAGCCTCACAAGTAGCTGGGATTACAGTAATGCACCGCCACGGCTGGCTAATTTTATTTTGTATTTTCGTAGAGATGGGGTTTCACCGTATGGGCCAGGCTGGTCTCGAACTCCTGACTTCAAGCAATCTGCCCCTCCTTGGCCTCCCAAAGTGCTGGGATTATAGGCGTGAGCCAATGCGCCCAGCTAGCATATGTTTCCCTAAAGGGCAAATAGTAAGTATTTACTATGGCTCCCGTCTGTAATCCCAACACTGGGAGGCCAAGGGGGAGAATGGCCTCAGACCAGGTGCCAAGTGCCCGGGCCTCCGCTGCCCACTGCCTTTGTCTATTCACTTCCACTTCACTCTCCCTCTCACCCCCAAAGGCCTTAGCTCCCTGCTTCCAGTTCCAGCTGAGGTGGCTGTGAGCTGAGCTAAGAAGAGCCCACTTTGCTGGGAGGGGCAGCTCACGCCTGAAATCCCAGCACTTTGAAAGGCCGAGGCAGGTGGATCACTTGAGGTCAGGAGTTTAAGACCAGCCCGTTCAACATGGTGAGACCCCTTCTGTACTAAAAATACAAAACTTAGCCAGGTGTGGTGGGGTGCTACTCGCAAGGCTGAGGTAGAAGAATCTCTTGAGCGGGGGTGGTGGAGGCTGCATTCCTGCCTGGGCAACAGAGTGAGACTCTCAAAAAAAAAAAAGAGAAGAACCCACTTCATTCTACCTGTGGGAGGTGGGTCAGGCGTTTGTGGAACTTTGCAAATGGAAAACAGTTTGTAAATACGTAAGACAGCCCACAGGTCAGCATTCAAAAGGTGCAACGTGCCCTGACTTCCTGTCTCACCTGGGGCATTTTTCTTTTTTTTTTTTTCTTCTCTTTTTTACAGATCAGAAGATGCAGGCTACTCTGGGCACAGTGCCTATGAACTGGCCTTGCTCTGCAAGAAGCAGCCAAGAAAAAACCAGAAGAGAGCTGTGGGGCGGTGTGTGCTGCTGAATGCAGTGGCTGCCCATCCATAGGGAAAAACATTTTGCACATGAAAAATCTGGGGCCAGGCGTGCTGGCTCACACCTGTAATCCCTTTGGAAGGCTGAGATGGGCAGATCACCTGAGGTTGGGAGTTCAAGACCAGCCTGACCAACATGGAGAAACCCCGTCTCTACTAAAAATACAAAATTAGCCGGACATGGTGGTGCATGCCTGTAATCCCAGCTACTCAGGAGGTTGAGGCAGGAGAGTCACTTGAACCTGAGAGGTGGAGGTTTCGGTGAGCCGAGATCACACCATTGCACTCCGGCCTGGGCAACAGGAGCCAAACTCCATCTCAAAAAAAAAATTTTTCCGGAAAATTTGTATCTACATTTGAATCTGGAGCCTTCCTTGGAAAAACGGGACACTCTGATGGCAGTGGGCCACGATCTAACACATC